AAAAAAAAAAAAAAAAAAAAAAAGCTGAGCATGGTGGTGCATGCCTCTAATCCCAGCTACTTAGGAGGCTGAGGCAGGAGAATTGAGTGAACCCGGGAGGTGGAGGTTGCCAGGAGCCAGGATCGCACCACTACACTCCAGCCTAGGCAACAAGACCAAAATCTCTGTCTCCAAAATAAATGAATGAATGAATGAATGAGGTTGCCAGGAGCCGGGATCGCACCACTACACTCCAGCCTAGGCAACAAGACCAAAATCTCTGTCTCCAAAATAAATGAATGAATGAATGAATGAATGAATGCATGCATGCATGCTTCAAAGGAAAAATAGATGCTAACCTAATTATTTAAGAGGTACTTAATTTAGATTGGGAGTTTCAGGGGAAGACCTGAGAAGGTGATAGTCAAGATGGTACTTGAACTATGGATAAAAATTGGCTGCATGAGGAGTGGTAGTGGAGTACTTAAAAGAAATACAGTTTGGCTAGGTGTGGTGGTTCACAACTGTAACCCTAGCACTGTTGGAAGCTGGGGCAGGAGGATCACTTGAGCCTAAGTTCATGACCAGCCTGGGCAACATAGTGAGACTCCATCTCTACAAAAAAGGAAAAAGAAAAAAATATCAGCCCAGCATGGTGATACATTCCTAAAGTCCTATCTGTTCAAGAGGCTGAGATGGGAGGATCACTTGAACTTGGGAGGTTGGGCCTGCAGTGAACCTGGATGATGCCACTGCATTCCAACCTGGGCGACAGAGGGAGAGTGTCTTCAAAAAACAAAAAGGTTGGACGCGGTGGTTCATGCCTGTAATCCCAGCACTTTGGGAGGCTGAGGTGGGTAGATCATGAGGTCAAGTGTTTGAGACCAGTCTGGCCAACATGGTGAAACCCTGTCTCTACTAAAAATACAAAAATTAGCCTGGCATGGTGGTACATGCTTGTAGTCCCAGCTACTCAGAGGCTGAGGCAGAATTGCTTGAACCCGGGAGGTAGAGGTTGCAGTGAGCCAAGATCATGCCACTGCACTCCAGCCTGGGCAACAGAGTGAGACTCCATCTCAGCAACAAAAATCAAACAACAGCAAAACCCAAAACCCTCAGAAAAAAAACACAAAAAAATAAAACCCAAAGGTACAGTTTGACAAATTGGCAAAATACAGTAGAGTGGATTGGATTTGATGTAATTTTTGTTGTTGATTTTATTTATTTTAAAATGAGGACCAGTTCAAATCATTCTGACTGCTTTAAAATAGCTACTCAAAATGTATATTTATGAAGCATTTGATGGAAAAATTTATAGATTTTTATCTTTTCAAAAAAGCAATAGATTACTTATATGTTATTTACTCTGTGACTTTAAAATCTGTATATAGTTGTAGCCCCATTTGATATTAGTCCCCCTTTAAGTAAGTTTAAAGTTTAAAGTGGAAATTTTGAGGCTTTAAAAATTTTGTTTTAATTATGGTAAAATACACATAACATAAAATTTACCATTCTCACCATTTTTACAGTATACAGTTTAGCAGTACTATGTACAGTCACATTATTGTGCAGCTAGTCTCCAGAGCTCTCAGCTTATATGACCAAAATTCTGTACCTATTAAACATCTCCCCAGCCACCCTTCTTTCTAGCCTCTAGCAGTCATCATTCAGCTTTCTGTATCTATAAATTTGACTACTCTGCATACCTGAAATAAGTGGAAGCATACAGTATTTGTCCTTTTGTGACTGGCCCGTTTCACCCAGCGTATGGTCTTGAAGGTCCATCTATTTGGTAGCATGTATCACAGTTTCCTTCCTTTTTAAGGCTGCAGTATATTCCATTGTATACCACATTTTGTTTATTCATTTATTTGTTGATGGATACTTGTGTTGCTTCCACCTTTTGGCTGTTGGGAATAATGCTGCTGTGAACATGGGTATACAAATATCCTGTTTTCAGTTCTTTTGGGAAGTAGAATTGCTAGATTCTATGGTAATTTTATGTTACATTGTTTGAGGAGCCACTATACTGTTTTCCAAAGCAGCTCTATCATTTACATTCTCACCAACAGTGCACGAGGATTCCAATTTATTTACATCCTTGCCAATGGTGGTTATTTTTTATTTGTTTTCTTTTTTTAGTAGTAGCCACCTACTGGGTGTGAAGTGATTTAATTTTTCTTAATCTTAGCTATGCTGACCACATTTAATAATTATCCTTAAAATTTAAAAGCAAATTTAAAATTTTTAAAGTGTTTAGACTCTTTGCATTTGTAAAATATCTGAATTAAGTAAATTTTATGACATTTCTTAGCATATTATCTAATTATTTGGGTCACATTTATTAGTGTATAGCATTACTTATGTCATCTTTCTCAGTGGTGATATAGGGTGGTAATAACAATAATCTGACATGTTTAGTTGACAAGAATTTGAAATGGATGAAACATGGTGGGGCCAGGCACGGTGGCACGCCCTGTAATCCCAGCAATAAGTGAGGCCTAGGTGAGCAAATCGCTTGAGCCCAGAAGTTCGGGACCAAGCTGAGCAACATGACGAAACCCCGTCTCTACAAAAAAAAAAAAAAAAAGCTGGGTATAGTGGTGTATGCCTGTGGTCCTAGCTACTCAGGAGTCTGAGGCAGGAGGATCACCTGATCCCAGGACAAATGTGATAAAAGTTATCAAAACTACACTATCTTAACATCTTTTCTGGCTAACAGATGCTTCACATAAGAAACCCAACTCAAAAATCAC